TTAAATTTTTTTGTTTACGTTGATTTTGTGGAAAAATAAAATTCTAATTAAAATTGAAATTGAAATTAAAATTAAAATTAAAAATGAAATTGAAATTAAAATTCTAATTAAAATTGAAATTAAAATTAAAATTAAAATTAAAATTGAAATTAAAATTCTAAATAAAATTGAAATTAAAATTGAAATTAAAATTAAAATTAAAATTGAAATTGAAAAATTTTTTAATTTGAATTTTCTTGAGCAAAAACTTCCATAACTTGAATTTTCCAATCTTTTTCAACTCCAGCAAAAAAACTTCTTGTTTTCCTGTGATTTTGAGATAAACCACTCAAAAGAGTAAATTTAGTAACTCCAAAATCTCCATAAGAAGAATAAAAAGTATCAAAAGGTTTTGAAGGATCTTTAGAAGATGAAACAACAATATCAGTTCCAAATTGTGGACCACAATTAGGGGCATAAAAAATAGCAAAATCTGAACGAGTATTAATAATTGGGGCAACATTTATGTGATTTGAGAAGTCAAAAGGACCAGTTTTAAGGGAAAAAATGAGGGAATTTGGATCTGAAATCCAATAACTTTGATTTTCTTTTTTTTTATCTTTTTGTTCTTCTTTTTTTTTATCTTTTTTTTTATCTTTTTTTTTATCTTTTTTTTCATCTTTTTTCATCTTTTTTTTTCATCTTTTTGTTCTTCTTTTTGTTCTTCTTTTTTTTTCCAACCAACAGAACTAAAACCTCCAAAAATAATCTCATTTTGTGTTTTGAAAAGAACTAAACAAGGTCCTTTATTATCGCATTTGAGATGAAATTCTTTAGGAGTAAACCCATCTTTAAGTGATGAATAAATCAAACTGCATGAATTAATAAAATCAAATGTTGGTATTGATTCTTGTAATTTATGAAGTAGATAATGTTCTCGTGAAAAAGATCTAATGATATTGCTTCCTTTTGGAGTGCTGATTTTTGGAACAAATATTTGGAAGTTCTTGAAATCATTGCGAAATTTGAAGCGCAAAAATTCAGCAAGTTTTTCATTACTTTTTTTAAGAAAAATATTGAGATTGTTGATGTTAGTGTATATTTGCTCAGAAATCAAACCAATTGAAGAGTAAGGGAAAATATCCAAAGGGGAAATTTCGCAGAAATGGATCTTGTGAATAAACGGAGAAATTTTGTTTCGAATTGCCTCAATTTGATTTTTGGAAAAAGAAGTCAATTCGTTAGTTGAAAGAGGTAATTCTAGTTTAGATTGAGCCCAAAGGATCAAAGAGCGAAGTTTTTGGATTTCTTTTTCAAGAAATGTTTGATTGGTGTCAAGAATAATGTGTATTTCTTGTTCAGTCAATGAATTGAAAATTCCTTTTTTTTGTAATTCTTTGATATTTTTTTGGATAAAAGAAGAACAAAAAGTGGAAAGATTTTCTATATTAAAAGAATAAGATAAAACAAAGGCATCCATAGCATTTTCAATATTGATATTTTGTTGGATAAAAGAGATCAAAGTGTTGACGAAGTTTTCATCTGTGATCATTAATTTCTGAGTTGCTAAAAGTAATTCAAATGCATTTTCAGGTGAATATTCAATTGTTCCTGAATAAAGGAAATTGAGAATTTTTTCCATTGTTTGGTCTGTTATTCCTGAAATTTCTACTTTTCCTTCTTGAGATTCTTTCATTTGTGATCTAAACAATCCTTGAAAATAAGAAGATCTTGCAAATAGAACAAATTTATGACAATTAAAAATTGTATTTGTATTCTCATTTATAATTTGAAAATCGGAAAATATTTTAGTTTCTAAAAAAGTTGAGAAATCATTTGCTAATTTTGATTGATTTTTATAAAATTGCATTATTAAAATTAAATTTAAATTTAAATTTAAAAAAATGAGAAAATTAAAAAATAAAATTAAAATTTTTTTTTTCTTTTTTTAACATAATAATTATTAATAAATAATAAAAATTAATAATTTTGCTTTATCATCATTATTATAAATTTTTAATAATTATTAATAATTATTATGTAATTGATATAAAAGAAAAATTTTTTTTTATTTTTTTTTATTTTTTTTTTCCATTTTTTTTTATATTTTTTTGATCTTTTCTTTTCTTTTTTTTGTGTTTTCTTTTTCAAACACACAAACAAACAACAAACAAACACTTTTTACACAAAAACCCATCTTTTAAAACCTTTAATTTTTTATTAAATTTCTTAAAGCTTTTTTTTTGAAAAGTTTTTTAAAGGAAAAAAACAAAAAACAAAAAAACAGAGTTTAATACAAAAAGCTTTTTATGCTCCAATTGACTAAACAATCACCAACGTAACTTAATTTAATTAAAAAAAAAAAAAAATTAAAAAAAGATTAAAATATTTATTTTTCTCCTTTTTTTTTTTCCTATTTATTATTTTTTTTTTTAATTTATATTATAATTTAGTTCGCAAATTCTTTTCTCTTTTTGTTCTAATACTCCAACTAAAAAAGCAAATACACCAGTTTCAATTGATATTACAAATGTTTTAACAAACCTTGGATTTACTTCATCATTAACAAATCAAAAACAACAACAACCAACTCCTTTATCAACAATATCAGATCCAAATTTAGTTAAATCTCAACAATTAGAAGTTTTAATAAATTCTCAACAATCTCAGTCTCCAAAAACTATAACCAAGACAACATCTTTATCAAAGATTTCCGAAGCAATAGATTCAAAACCAACAAAAGGAGTTACTGAAACTAAATTAAATGAAAAATTGAATCAAATTCAAAATTTAAATCAAAATTTAAATGAAATTCAAAATGAAATTCAAAATCAAAATGAAAATCAAATTCAAAATTTAAATGAAATTCAAAATTTAAATGAAATTCAAAATTTAAATGAAAATCAAAATTTAAATCAAAATCAAAATCAAATTTTAGAAAATGAAAGATTTATCATTTTCAACAATTTTAAATCAACACTTGTTGATTATCAACTCACAAAAATCAATGATCAACCACAGATCAATTTCCGTTCCATCGGAAGTCAAAACGTAACAAACTTTGAAAAAAATATGGGAGACACAAAAATCCAATTTTCATTAAGTCAAGAATTAGCCGATTATTCATTTATGCTTATTGATGTGATTGATGCATCAGGATTTTTTTTGAATAGATGGAATGGAGCATTAAATTTGAGAAACCGAGAATTTAATGTATTAATGTCGAGAAATCCAGCAAACAAGTATGAAAAACAAAACTCGAAATTCATTGTGAAACGAAATGTTTCTGTTGCAGTTTCTGTTCCGGAGCAAGTACAATCTACAAAAACAACAAAGAAACAGGAAAAGAAGAAAACAGACAAGAAGAAAACAGACAAAAAGAAAAAGATTCCGAAGTTGAAATCGCAACGAAAAAAGGCTTTTGCAAGATCTTTTAATCACAAAGAAAAAGAATCTTCAAGCCCGCATTTAGTCTCTTTAAATCTAGTAAAGAAGAAGAAAGGCAAGAAAGGGAAAAAGAAAAGAAAGAGCAAGAATGAAAAAAAGAAGTCAAAAATTAACGCTTTAAGAATCCAACAACAAAGAGCGCTTAATTTGAAAGAATTGGAATTGCAAACTTTGAATCTTGATGGAGATTCTGGTCGTGAAAAATCTCAAAAGGAAATAAAATCTTCTGAAACTTTCCAAAAAAGCGTTGATCACAGCAAACCAATTGAAAACAAAACGCAGAATAAACAATCCGGTTTAATTTCCAAAAATATCAAACAAGAAAATACCTTTTTTGTCAGTCGCAAGTCTCTTTTTGAATTACTTCAGATTGCGAAATCATTGAATTCTGCAATTCTTTCTCTTTCAATTCCTATTGAATATTTCAAAACTCCAACACAAATGGAAATGATTATTCGTCAATTTTCTTTTTTAGGTTTCAAACAAGTTGTTTCAACTCCAACAAAAGCAAAGAATTTTCTGACTCTCACTTATTCCTTTAAAAAGCCAATTTTAAAGAAGTGAAATTTACCTTACCAAATGAATTTTTTCTTTCTTCTTTCTTGAATGAGTTGTTTTTAAAACTTTTTTTTACAATCTTTTCAATCATTTTTTTTGACAATTTTTTTTTACAACTTTTTTTTTTTTACAAATAATTTGTTTTTTGACAACTTTTTAAAAAATTTTTGAAAAATAAAAGTTAACAACTCAATTTATAATTTTGAATTTTTAATTAATAATAAAAAATATAAAATAAATCAATTTAATAATAAAAAGTGGAATAAAAATATAAATTAATAATAAAAAATAAATTAAATTAATAATAATAAAAAGTGGAATAAAAATATAAATTAATAATAAACTTATTAATAATAAAAAGTGGAACAAAAATATAAATTAATAATAAATTAAATTTAAATAATTTGTTAATAAACTTATTAATAATAAAAAGTGGAATAAAAATAAAAATTAATAATAAATTAAATTTAAATAATTTGTTAATAAACTTATTAATAATAAAAGTGGAACAAAAATATAAATTAATAATAAATTAAATTTAAATAATTTGTTAATAAACTTATTAATAAGTGGAATAAAAAATAAATAAATTAATAATAAATTAAATTTAAATAATTTGTTAATAAATTTATTAATAATAAAAAGTGGAATAAAAATATAAATTAATAATAAATTAAATTTAAATAATTTGTTAATAAATTTATTATTAATAAAAAGTGGAATAAAAATATAAATTAATAATAAATTAAATGTAAATAATTTGTTAATAAACTTATCAATAATAAAAAGTGGAATAAAAATATAAATTAATAATAAATTAAATTTAAATAATTTGTTAATAAATTTATTAATAATAAAAAGTGGAATAAAAATATAAATTAATAATAAATTAAATTTAAATAATTTATTAATAAATTTATTATTAAATAAAAATAAAATAAAAAATTTTTAAAATATTAATATAAATAAATAAAATTTTCAAAAAAAAATTAATTAAATTAAAATTAAAATAAAAAGGCGCGATGGCCGAGTGGTTAAGGCGATAGACTTGAAAAAATTAATTAAAAATTAATAATTTCTAGAAATCTATTTCCCTCTGGGAGCACAGGTTCGAATCCTGTTCGCGTCGTTTTTTTTTTTATTAAATTTTTTTTTTTAAATTTATTTTAAATTAAAGAAATAAAAACATAAAATAAATTAATAATAAAAAAGTGGAATATTTCTTTTATTTATTTTTTTTGATTTATTTCTAATTAAATTTATCTGTTTTAATATAAATAAATTATTAATAAAAATATAAAATAAATTAATAATAAAAAAGTGGAATATTTCTTGTTTCTTTTTTTGATTTATTTCTAATTAAATTTATTAAATTTAATCTAAATAAATTATTAATAAAAATATAAAATAAATTTATAATAAAAAAGTGGAATAAAAAGTGGAATAAATATATAAATTAAATTATTAATAAAAATATAAAATAAATTAATAATAAAAAGTGGAATATTTCTTGTTTCTTTTTTTTGATTTATTTCTATTAAATTTATTAAATTTAATATAAATAAATTATTAATAAAAATATAAAATAAATTAATAATAAAAAGTGGAATAAAAAGTGGAATAAAAAGTGGAATAAAAAGTGGAATAAATATATAAATTAAATTATTAATAAAAACATAAAATAAATTAATAATAAAAAGTGGAATATTTCTTTTGTTTATTTTTTTTGATTTATTTCTAATTAAATTTATTTGATTTAATATAAATAAATTATTAATAAAAATATAAAATAAATTAATAATAAAAAGTGGAATATCTCTTTTGTTTATTTTTTTTTGATTTATTTCTAATTAAATTTATTTATTTTAATTTAAATAAATTAATAATAAAAATATAAAATAAATTAATAATAAAAAGTGGAATAAAAATATAAATTAATAATAAAATAAATTTAAATAATTTGTTAATAAATTTATTATTAATAAAAAGTGGAATAAAAATATAAATTAATAATAAATTAAATTTAAATAATTTGTTAATAAATTTATTAATAATAATAAGTGGAATAAAAATATAAAATAATAATAAATTAAATTTAAATAATTTGTTAATAAATTTATTAATAATAAAAGTGGAATAAAAATATAAATTAATAATAAATTAAATTTAAATAATTTGTTAATAAATTAATAATAATAATAAGTGGAATAAAAATATAAATTAATAATAAATTAAATTTAAATAATTTGTTAATAAATTTATTATTAATAATAAGTGGAATAAAAATATAAATTAATAATAAAAATAAATTTAAATAATTTGTTAATAAATTTATTATTAATAAAAAGTGGAATAAAAATATAAATTAATAATAAATTAAATTTAAATAATTTGTTAATAAATTTATTAATAATAATAAGTGGAATAAAAATATAAAATAATAATAAATTAAATTTAAATAATTTGTTAATAAATTTATTATTAATAAAAAGTGGAATAAAAATATAAATTAATAATAAATTAAATTTAAATAATTTGTAAATAAATTTATTAATAATTAAAAATAATAAAATAAAATAAAAAATAAATAAAATATTAATATAAATAAATAAAATTTTCAAAAAAAAAATTAATTAAATTAAAATTAAAATAAAAAGGCGCGATGGCCGAGTGGTTAAGGCGATAGACTTGAAAAAATTAATTAAAAATTAATAATTTCTAGAAATCTATTTCCCTCTGGGAGCACAGGTTCGAATCCTGTTCGCGTCGTTTTTTTTTTATTAATTTTTTTTTTAAATTTATTTTAAATTAAAGAAATAAAAATATAAAATAAATTATTAATAATAAAAAAGTGGAATATTTCTTTTATTTCTTTTTTTTTGATTTATTTCTAATTAATTTTATTTATTTGTTTTAATATAAATAAATTATTAATAAAAACATAAAATAAATTAATAATAAAAAAGTGGAATATTTCTTTTGTTTATTTTTTTTTGATTTATTTCTAATTAAATTTATCTGTTTTAATATAAATAAATTATTAATAAAAATATAAAATAAATTAATAAGGAATAAAAAGTGGAATAAATATATAAATTAAATTAATAATAAAAATATATAATAAATTATTAATAAAAAAGTGGAATATTTCTTTTATTTCTTTTTTTTTGATTTATTTCTAATTAAGTTTATTTATCTGTTTTAATATAAATAAATTAATAATAAAAATATAAAATAAATTTATAATAAAAAGTGGAATAAAAAGTGGAATAAATATATAAATTAAATTAATAATAAAAAGTGGAATATTTCTTTTGTTTCTTTTTTGATTTATTTCTAATTAAATTTATTTGATTTAATATAAATAAATTAATAATAAAAATATAAAATAAATTAATAATAAAAAAGTGGAATAAAAAGTGGAATATATATATAAATAAATTATTAACAAAAATATAAAATAAATTATTAATAAAAAAGTGGAATATTTCTTTTGTTTATTTTTTTTTGATTTATTTCTAATTAAATTTAATTGTTTTAATATAAATAAATTATTAATAAAAATATAAATTAAATTAATAATAAAAAGTGGAATAAAAAGTGGAATAAATATATAAATAAATTAATTATAAAAATATAAAATAAATTAATAATAAAAAAGTGGAATATCTCTTTTGTTTATTTTTTTTGATTTATTTCTAATTAAGTTTATTTATCTGTTTTAATATAAAAAAGAATATAAGCGTTTGGATCAACAATTTCTTTTTCTGAAACTTCTGAAATTGAAGTATCATCTATATGAACCCAATTACCAGTCCATTTTAAAGCAGAACAAGTATAATGTCCTTCAATCGGTGATTGACCAATATGATAAATAACAGAAACCAAATTATAAATGTGTTCTTTTTTTCCTTTTTTATGTAATTCAGAACTTATTATTTTTTTTGGAATAGTTAATTTTGTTGGAAAATTAATTGCTTTATGAACTTTAAATGCTCCAGTTTTTTCTGAAAATCTAAATCTTTTTAAATGGAGAATAAGAATAACTGGTAATTGATGAATTTTTGTTTTTTTTTGGGCTCCAATCTAATTTTGATTTTGATTTTGATTTTGATTTTAATTTTGATTTTGATTTTGATTTTGATTTTGATTTTGATTTTGAATTTGATTTTGATTTTGATTTTGATTTTGATTTTGATTTTGATTTTGAATTTGATTTTGATTTTGATTTTGAATTTAATTTTGAATTTGATTTTAATTTTTAATTTTGAATTTGATTTAAATTTTAAAAAAAACATTTTGTTTTGTTGTTTCATCAGTATAATCTCTTAAATTTTCTGGGTCAGAAAAATCAATTAAAGCATCCTCAATTGAAGAAATATGAAATCCATTAATATTAATAGGTAAAATCATAAAAGGTTCAAAAGATATTAAAGGTTTCATTCCATTTGGTACAATTTTACTTTTTAAAGTTCCTCCAAAAATATCTCTAATAATGGTTTTTTTGGGGATGATCTATTAATTTTGATTTTTAATTTTAATTTGAATTTGAATTTGAATTTGAATTTGAATTTTAATTTGAATTTGAATTTGATATTGATTTTTATTTTGATTTTGAATTTGAATTTTGAATTTAATATTGATTTTGATTTTGATTTTGATTTTGATTTTAATTTTAATTTAAATTTAATTTTGAATTTTAATTTTGATTTTGATTTTAATTTGATTTTGATTTTAATTTTGATTTTAATTTTAATTTTGATTTTGATTTTGATTTTGATTTTGATTTTGATTTAATTTTAATTTTGATTTTGATTTTGATTTTGAATTTTAATTTTGATTTTGATTTTGATTTTGATTTTGATTTTGAATTTGATTTTGATTTTGATTTTGATTTTGATTTTGATTTTAATTTTAATTTTGATTTTGATTTTAATTTTGATTTTAATTTTAATTTTGATTTTGAATTTAATTTTGATTTTGATTTTGATTTTGATTTTGATTTTGATTTTGATTTTAAATTTAAATTTTGAATTTGATTTTGATTTTGGTTTTGAATTTGAATTTTGATTTTAAATTTTAATTTTAATTTTATTTTCTTTTACTCGTTGAACTAAGATTTGTGTATTCTTGACTTTTTTTTTTGTGTGTGTGTGTGTATGTATTAATAAATAAAATTCAAAGAATCAATATATATATATATATATATTTTTTTCATTATACAATCTTGTAAAGCTTTCTCAATTTCAAACATTTTCCCAGAATTATTAAGACCTAAAATAACGGCAATTTCTTCATGAACAGAATCAAGTAAAAAATTTAAAAATTCTTGTGCGTCTTCTTGAACACTCTTCAAATAATTAGGACCATCTGGTTTAAATCTTCCAATTACATCAAATAATTTTTCATAAAAAAAAGAAGTTGATTTTGAATCAAAATCAAATCCTAAACGTGAAAATCCTTTTGTTTTGATATCAATATCAACAGAAATATTTTTAATAAATCCAGCTCTATATTAATATTATTATTATTATTGTTGTTATTTTTTGAAAAAATGAATATTTTCTTCATCTTTTAATTCCATTGATAATTTTTCAGTTTACAATGATTGAAGAATTAAACAATTTGAATAATCTTCAAAATTTGCTTTTCGGATTTTATCCAAAAAGAAAATAAATGGTGGACATGCTAATAAACCCTGCATAACGTATTTAAATTAAAATAGAATTAAGCAAATCAAAGAAAAAAATTTTTTTATCTTTCTTTCTTTTTTTTTTTTGTTAAAAAATGAATAAAATAAATTAAAAGGATATTGAATTAACAAAACAACTATTTCCTCTATTCTCCATTCCTCTAATTTGAATTCCAATTGGTTCATTTTGAATTGTAATTTGGGGAAGAATATCTTAATTTGAAAAAAAAAAATCAAATAATAAAAAAGTAAAAGTTTTGTTTTATTTTAAAATAGTTTTTACTTTGAATTTTTCTTTGAATTCTTCTTTCTTCTTTTTCTTTTATTTTTTTTTCTCTTTGTAAAATTTTATCAATTGGTAAAATAATTTTTGATATTTTCAATTTATTTTGAATTTCTTCTTTTGTAAATTCACCAAATCTTAAATCCATTTTATT